GAGGTTTTGCGGTATAATATGGGGTAGTTCTCTAAATGGGTCTCTTCTTAGGTGCCCAATATAGTACGGCACCCTCATAAAAAGGACCCCAAAAGGGACCCTAATTTAGAGAAATACCCATATCGTATAGCTATTTTGGGGGATTCTAAATGGGATGCTCTCACTCCTTATTCCGACCCTCTTAGATGTCCTCCTTCAAGGAATACGCGCTTCAGTTTTGGTTTTAGGGTTTGGGGTCTAGCGGCCGGAAGTTTTCTTCTTGGGGGTGGATTTTGGGGACGTCGAGACAAAATCGAGCTCACTCATAAGCGACAAAACAACAACGCTGCAAGCAACAAGCCGGAGACCGCAAACCAAAGCCAAATCCCTAAACCTAAAACCAACAACCCGAAAACACAAACTCTTTTTGCAACTAGAACTTGGGCGGTTGCAGAAGACGTGCACTGTACTTCCCTGCCTCCCACCTCACAAACCCGAAAACTGCTGCGCAGGCCCCGACCACTCGTCGACTGGACAGCTGACCAGGTGCACACAGCTTGACAGGCTTCAACCATTATACAAATAACCTAAAACCTTGAAGAACCAAACTCTGAGCCCTAAAACCCTAAACTAACCAGAGCCGAGTTGCCCGAAATCTGTCTTTTCGGTCAGTATTTTCCAGAAACCTGCACCCGGAGAGTGCTTGGGGTTCTTTGTCCCATTGTCTAAATTTTTGGAGCTGAGCAGGATTTAGGTCTCGATGGCTTGGGGTGTCGGATTGAGAGGATTAGGATTTTTTGTTTTTTTTTGCGTGTTTGATATTTTTTACTTTAGGGTTTAGGGTTGTGAGTTTTTGTTGCCTCCCACCGGGCTCGTCCTAGGTTGCGAGTATTTTCCCTCTCGCATGGCAGAGAACTAGGTTGTGAGTTTTGGCAGCACAATCACTCTGAGCTCCAAGCCTGTAGGGTTTAGGGTTTTGAGTTTCAGGCTTAAGTGGCGCGGGGCTTAAGGCTCCAAGGTTCTGGCGTTCTGAGACGCAGGGCTTGGATTCCGGTTTCCGGTTGCAGCCCTCTGGATTTCCATGGGCTGCGAGCAATAGTGGAAATCACGATCCTCTTTGTAGAACCACCCAGAGAGCCCAATACCCCTTCATTCAGGAATCTAGCTTAAATCATAATATTGAGGCCCCTACAACTTAAGGTCTATTCCTTAAGTAAGGGATATACCTTAAATCACAATAATTAAGGCCCCTATAATTTAAGGTCTATCCCTTAACTAAGGGATATTGGGCTCTCTGGATTTTGCCCAGCGCCTAAGGGTTTTTGATTACCTGCGCCGTCTTTCCGGAGTCCTGCGCCCAGAGAGCCCAAGACCCCCTTAAGTAAGGAGTAGACCTTAAGTTATAGGGGCCTTAATATTATGATTTAAGGTATATTCCTTAGTTAAGGGATAGACCTTAAATTATAGGGGCCTTAATGTTCTGATTTAAAGTACATTCCTTAATTAGGGAATATACCTTAAATTATAGGGGCCTTAATATTATGATTTAAGGTATATTCCTTATTTAAGAGGTATTGGGTTCTCTGGGAAACCTGAACCCTGTGTAACCACGACGAAAGCCTCAAGCTCGAATTGCTCGAAATGGGGCTTTCCGAAAATAGGGGACCCCAATATGTAGCATCCTAAATAGTAGGATCCTTATCAAAAGGACCCCAAAATAAGGTACCCCTTATGTCGGAAACTCCCAAATGTCAATCACCACCATGGCATGGTAACATCAGTGCTGTTAACGACAGCGCAGCAGCGAGCTGACAAACCCCAAACCCTTAAACCCTGAAGCCCTTTTTTGCATCCAGGGTTTAGGGTTTAGGGTTCCAAACCCTAAACCCTTAAACCCTGAAGCCCTAAACCCTAGATCCCTAAACAGCAGTGAGCCCCCGACTGCTCTTTAAGTTCGTCGTTGATCTTCTGAATCTGACCTTGGTTGAGCGGATACCAGAGGATCAGCCCTATGACTACGATTATCCAAATCAGCGCCCCAGCGTGATACTCCTAAATAGTAGTAATAATAGTAATAATATAGTCATCAGAATAATAGTAGTAATAATAACAATAACCGCCATACTGATAAAAGACAATAAAGATACGACTAGTAATGACAAAAGTACTTCATATTTTTAACAGAAGTAATAATAGCAACATTACTATAAAAATCAATACTATCTGAAGATGATGGCGGTGGCTCTAATGTTGATGATGGTGGGACGACAAGAGCAGTCAAGAAGACTCTGGTAGGTGGTGTTTCTGCATTGACTGGCCAAACTCAGGCTGGTTTCGCTCTGGCATCCAATGAGGCTGAACTTCTTTCGTTAAGTTCCTGCTTTTCTTCCACTTCTGAGTGCCATGTAGACATGCTGATGTGTCGGGTCATGCGCAGGCGGTCCCGGGTTTCCATCTGATCTGAAAACCAATTTGCGCCCAAGAGCCCCAAGCGAAACTGGGGCTCCCTGTCAGGAGTCTTCAGGGATCGAACTAATATTAGAGGCGTTCTACCTCACATAACATGAGGGTCTCTTTGTCTGAAGCTCAAACCGGAAGCCAGTGCATTGATTGAATCTTTGAAAACACATCGTCACATTGGCCTGTTTTCGCAAGATGCAATAATGGCGAGGTGCCTCATGCACCGTAAACGCTGGCAACCCATGACCGGTCACTTGCGCATGACTACACAAGTGGATCCTTGACTCATTCGCCAAGACCCACCCGCAAATCCTGAACTGCAGCCCCACGCCCCCAGTGCCGCAGCAAAAAGATAGGGTTCGTACTGTTGCTGAAGCCTGAGAAGGTCGGCAGGCCGTTGGTTTTTGTGGCCTGGGATGACCACGATGAAGAAAACAGTCTAAGGACTTTAGGAGGGACCCCTAATCGGGACCCTTAATCCCATTACCTGAAATAACCATTGTATAGTCCTTATATACCCCTTATATAGCCAGGTAGTCTCCATATTTACCCCAATAACCTACAAGGGTCCCTATTAAGGGTCCCTCCTAAAGCCCTCAGAAACAAGCAAGACAGTAACTTCACCACACTAGCAGAACTTATACTTTGCACCACTATAAACGCTCTGCTCCTGCCACTGCCACTTGCCGCTACCGTACTACTACTACTACTACTACT